AAAAAAAAAGTATGAGCTGCATATTCACATCAAATACGTGAAAATATTTCAAAATAAAGAATTATTCGTTGATATATATATTAATGAGTTAAATTATGGATGATTTTAGAATTTTCAGATAACAACGACTTAGTAATATGTCAATCATCGTCGATGACAAATGAGAAACATGAAGAAAACGAATTATTAGAACAAAGATGTGTGTTTTTAATGTAAATAAAATACTTTATTTATTTTCTTTTTTTTTTTTTTAAGTGTGATGAAAATAAAGTATTTTTATTTCATTATTTTTATGTGAATCCTTTTTATAGTTGATGATTTTTTTTTCTAATAAATAAACCGGATTCACAAAAAAAAAGAGAATCTTGCTTGTAGACACAATTGTCCTTGCATGACATTCAAGAAAAACAAGAATCTGAAAAGAATATAGTCAAGAATATCGATTCGTGTTGTTGTGATCAAAAAAACGTGAATTTAGTTTTAAGAAAGCGTATTCAAAAGCTTTACTGCTTGCTCGTAGATTTGGTTCCTTGTTGAAGATAACATAATTATTTTTGCGAAGCAGCTCGAAGAATGAATGTATAATTTTTGGATTTCTTGGATGAACTTCAACAAGAATTTGTCGAGGAAACGAACTTTTCGTCGACTTGAAAAGTTGAGGAAAAAATAAATATTCACCACCTTCAATGTCAATTTTAAATATATCGATTTGGCGATTAGTATGATTCAATTCTTGAAGAATCATTGTCCAGCTCTTTGAACCTTTCGATTTAATTCCATCACCGAGCATTATCTGATGAAAGATACAGATGCCATCCGGACATTCATAGAAATCTTTGTCAAAAGTATGGATTTCACAATGAGGCATGACTTTTTTTATTTCAGTTTCAAATGAAAATGTTCCATGGGATCCTGCACTGTAGATCAGACAATCACGACGAGATTTTAGTCGATAAAGATCACAAACCCATTTTCCACCATCACCCATATTGCCAATACGACTAGCATGAGAACAATGAAAATTAGGTTCCCAATTCGAAAGAAAAAAGATATGATGTGTTCGTTTAACCATATTCTCTTTGTCCTGATTTTGATAGACATATTTACGTTCATTCCATAGAGCATTCGATTCACATATAAAATTGTCACTTTCTGCTAGCGACAGACGGCAGTTACTATTAAATGAAACAGTTGACCATGAACAAAAATGATAATTCCAGAGAAGCAAAATAGATAGTATTAAAACTAGTAATTTCAGAACCAATGGAGTAAATAATGTTTTCATATTGAACTGATGATTGTACTTCATTTACAGGCGAAAAGAACGTTCAAAATAAAGCATTTTTATCAGAACATTAGGGATGACGTAGAAAAGTAAAAGAGCCAGAATTCTATCGACAGCCACGGATCAATTAGAATCTTTCGAGCTTCCTATCCTATTGCAACAGCACAGAAAAAAAAGAAGTTTTATTGAAGAAAAAAAATGAGCAGAAGCGTGCAGTACAGTAATATGTTTATGTGGCTATCGAGTGTAGTAGAAAACATACTCTCGATGAATAATTTGGCCAAAATTTGTTCGATAAGTTTTTTTTTCAAATTCAATGTCTTACGTTTTTTTTCCTATCTGTCGCTCACTTTCAGTGTCGATGCCCAGCTTGAGTACTATTGCGTTGTCGCATTCTACAGCATCAATTCTTTTTCACTTTGGCATCACACAATAGAAAAGCAACAAAACGAGCGATTCTGAATGAATTGTGGCTCTTTCTTCGTCAATAGTTTCTTTCTGCTGTAAACAGTTATGTGCCATGAGCAAATCAATACATTTCTTTTCTGCCTGCATGTGCTAAGTTTATTATTACAATCTGAAGTGCTTACAAAAGAAAAAATCGTAAGTGTGTATAGCTTCTTGGTTACGTGTTTTCAAATGTGATCCTGGCAATCAGAGCATGTCACAGACCTACAGCCTTCACACATGCTCTTCTATCTCTTGTCTCACTACATCTTGATGAAGACATCATCTTTCTTATAGTTCTTTCATTAGAGTTAATAGATGTAGCTATGTATTTCGTTGTTTCGAATGAAGATGTCACAATTGAAAGAAAAAGCAGAAAGACAACAAATAAGAAAAGAACAGCTCTGAGTAACAATATTCGAGACAAGCTTACATGTAGATAAACTATCGTTTTTGCAAGTTTTATCGACAGATGTGTTTTCTATTTCGAAAATTAATCAAAAAAATGGACAAAAACAAGTGAACTGCTCTCTATTTAAAGTTTCGGTATGACAGATGTTGAGCTCAGGATGCTCTATCAAACTATGTATACAACCTCTTGTTCAATTTGTTATCATTCATCTGTAAAGTTATATTTTTGTAAAATCTTTCGTATTTTATTTCGCAATATCCCCCAGCACGATCAATTATGGCAACAAGTGATACAGACTCAGTTCACTGCAAACCAATAAGGTCTTGAAATCAACTAGAGTAAAATCTCTTTAATTTGAGCACGAAGACAATCCAAGAGCAAAAAGTATGTTATTAAAAGAGAAAGACAAAATGGCACTTTTGTAGTTTTCGAGATTTTACTTTGAATAGTACTATTAAATAGAAACGATGAAGATAGAATGGAGCATGAAGGAAACAGTACCCAGGCAGACAAACTTGAGAAAACGCGTTTAAACGCACAGAAATTGGCCTAAAATCAGCAAAAAGTGGATGTTTTTGGCTCACACTTGAGGTTCCCGACGGTGAGCCAAAAACACCCTTTTTTCGGCCCTTTTGTGCGTTTAAACGCGTTTCCAGACAAAAAATGCGTTTACACGCATACAAAAAAGAGAAAAAGTTGTTGAGTTTTTCCAGTTCAAGAAACGGGACTGTAATCATGATCGTGCATCCCGAGTATGAAAAAACGACCACTTTTTCTCTTTTTTGTATACGTGTAAACGCGTTTAAACGCACAAAAAGGCCGAAAAATGGGTGTTTTTGGCTCACCGTCGGGAACCTCAAGTGTGAGCCAAAAACGTCCACTTTTTGCTGATTTTAGGCCAATTTCTGTGCGTTTAAACGCGTTTTCTCAAAAGTTTGTCTGCTTGGATAGTTACCAAGTAATGTATAGACAACAATCTGTGATTATGATTATTTCTCTAAGAATGTTCTATTTCATGAACATAAGTGGTGTTGTAAAAGAAAACCGTTCACTGGAAATTTTTCAAGTTGATCAATCCTCATCGTAAGTGTGGGTTAAGATAAAAGATACACTCACATCTACGCCTAGACAGTTGAAAAATAATAGTTTATATTGATAGATCTGTCGGTTCACAAGATTTTCATCCTCCAAAGTTATGAAGTTCGAAGCTACAACGTGTTCCTATCCAACGATCAAGCAATAGTAATGCTTGTCTGTTGAATCGTATCTATTAATTGGCAGGTTTGATGTTCTTATTTCAGAATAAAAGCAAATTAAACGATCAGGAATGTTCACAGTAGACTCTTTTTAATAAGACTTGTTTCTGTACAAAATTTCAAATTGAAATTTTAAAATGAATTTTCCTGATAGGTGCATGAAATTTTGACTGAAAACCTAATCTTAAAAATGCATTATCTTCGTAGCAATAAGCTAAGTATTTCAACTCTTCTCATGGTATTCATACCTTATTATGATCTACATAATGTACATAGTCATGACTCAAGAACTGTTTACAGAATTTACTATTTAATTTTGAAAATTACGGTCACTAATCGAAGTTTTTTATAATATAAATACATGATGTGAAAATCAGTAGCATTTCTAATGCAATCTTTTTTCAGAGCATCTACAATGACTCAATATATAAAATTAGCTTTATAAAAGTTCATTATCTCTAGATATACATAATTTAATATTGTAGAATTACGTCTTCAACGCTTGCTTTAATCTACATGCGACTTTCAGAAAAACAAAAACCTTTTACTCAAATATTTCCAATCCGAATGTCAAATATAATAAAAAAAAATAATATTTACTAGAAATATCAATTTCAACAGCATAACATATTTGTTTTTTAACATCACAAACTTTACAACTAACATTATTTTAACCATAAGTCAATTAACTTCAGTATGTATTAGATCATCTAATTGCTATATGAATTGTACATTACTATTAAATGAACATAATTGATATAATATTACAAATGCTGGTTGATGAATGAAAATCTTGTGATATAATGAACAAATATTTGTCATAGAAATATTTTCTTGTTGACCAACATCAACAGGATAAATGCAAACTTCATTTTTATTCGAATTAACATCTTTACAAAAAAAAGAAGAATGGATGAAAATGAAAAAAAAATCAAAAATAGACTGATATAATGATACAAGGACATATGGCATGATTATATTGTGCAACAACAGGTTGTTAGCATATACATATTGTGTGCATGGTGTCATTGACCAATAATTTTGCATAGCACGTTGTAATTCAACTTGAAACTACAAAAAAAAACAAAATCCTTTTTTTTTTTGATTTTGCAGGAACTTCGGTTCAAATGCTAAATGGTGAGAAACAGAAAATATTCTAATTATCTGAACAAATGCTATGGAATAATCTTTTATTGAATATGACTCTGAAAATTAATTGGAAATACTTATAAATCTCTTCATATATTCACGTTTTTCTTTCTTGGTGTATCGAAAATATTTCTATATTTTTAGAAATTTTCCGTTTTGATTCTTTAGCCCAGGAAAAAACACGAGATGATCTTATCATACTATTTTAAAATGAAATCCTTTCAAATTGTAGTTGCTGAAAAAGTTTTGTTTTGTATTTTGAATCTTTTACATATGGATGATAAATGAATACGAACATCCAATTATGAAATTGTACAGGAAGAACAACTCATAATTAGTGATATTTTAAACTATAAAAGTAAAGACTGCTAATTTTGTTTTTTTAAAATTTTATTTCATGAAATACAAATTGATCAATTACTTGATCTAAATCCACTGATATCAAAAATTGAAAGTTGATGTTAATTTATGTAATGTAAATAATATCATTTAAAGAAATGAATGTTTAAGCATATTTATAATAAAACCATCAATTATTTAAACATGTAAAATTAAGAAAAAGGAAAAGTTACTAAATTTGCTTGAAAGATTGGGTACCCCCTCACACTTCTTTTTTATTAATTTATGTTGTTTATCTATCGATGTTTTCTTCTCGTATTATATATCTTTTATTTCTTGATGTTACATACTTCAATGAATTACCATGGGTTAATGTTGCCCGTAATTGTAGATTTTCAGATGATTTAACAAATAACCTTAATCTCGGACCTCTTCTACCTCGTCCAGGTGTAGAAGGTTCACAAGCAACGATGACTATCTTTGTCTAATTATTCTTTTTCTTATATAACTATACATTAGGTTTAGTCAATATTAGTAAATATTTTCGCTCTTTCACGTAACTGTGTGAAGGTACGCTATTTTCTTGTTAAATTTATTTGATTAAGATAATTAAGTATTATCCTATTCTATTGATTGCCGAGGTACTTCGGGTTCAAAAACGAACGAGAGATGAACATATTTCTTGTCTCAATTGTCTAACTTGTTGAAAAATGACTTAGAATTATGTAAACTTGAAGGTTATCTCTGCTCTTCTAATTTCAAGACTAATAAAAACTTTGAACAACTATTAGACAAATTTAACATTGGATAAGAAAATTAGATCAAGTGATTTGGAAAAAGAACTATCTTTTGTTCTTAAGGATCTCTCCTCCTTTTTTGTTGACCAAAAAGTCGATTTTAAGCTGGTCATATGTCATAACAATATCAAGTGTCTTCTGCAATTATAGACATTATTCGACCTAAACTATCTTACTGCTCGAGAGTTATTGAATTTTTAAAATTTTTTTTCATAATAATTATAGCAAGTTTGTTCTCTTTCATTCTGCTTGGCACAATACATAAGTTTTCTATATCGTTTATGCTAACGACTCTACTCTGATTTTGTCTATTTGGGCTGAATTTTTTATCAGGAATCTTTAGAAGTATCTTCCAAAGATAAAATCGACCATTTTTGCTTTTGACCTTCTTATTCGGATTTATTGATTTCTAGAAGCTAGAACTCTAGCTTTCACTCCGAGCATTTAAGCATTTCTCTCATATTAAAAAGAAAGGCGAATTTTCAGAAAAGCCTGAAATCATCGTTGAGATATTGTCTAAAACTTCCCCACAAACGTTTTTAGTTCAATCGGATAAAGTATTATGGAGGTCGTATTGTGGCAAGGTTCGATCTTATGAAAAACCAGTGCTTTCCAAAACAAATGCGAAAACCATCTTGAACATTTTTTTTCTTCGAACATATATCTCCTTATTTTAGGTGCTCTATCTGCGATAAAAACTCCAGTTTGATCGATTGTAACCTCTTTCAGAACCAGAAATGGCCCAAAACAGTTGGAAGGAGTACTCTGATATAATGAATCTTAAATATTTCGTTCTTTTAAATTAAAGTACAAAGTATTAAGTATGTAGGGAAATCAAATTCTGCTGGGAATATTCGAGTCCAATATTAGAGACTTCAATTCGTAAGTGTTTGTAAATCATCTTTTGAATATTGATGAAGTCAAGTTATTTTTCAATCATTATGACAATGAATATACAAATCTTAAAAACTATCAAATATTGTTTTTAACTAAAAGAAATATTTCTTTATGAAAAAGAAGCAATGAATTCGAACTCAATTCCACTACAGAAAAATCAAATAGAACCAATTAGAGAAAACATTTCTTTTAAAGTACTTAAAACAAATTGTTGATCGTAAAAATGTCGAAAAAAGAATATCGACGTGAAAAATGTGAGAAATATGTTTTAGAAAATTCTGATCAGCGAAGGACATGCTGCTTTATTGTATGAGATAATGTTAACATTCTAACATAGACCAAACACAAATCAAGAAATAACAATCATACCGTCATAATCTCGTTCACCAAGATTGTCAGTACAATGTTAAATCAAAAATGTTTTGGTCCTAGATCTGCATTAAATTGAATGCACATATGTTAATCACCGGGAATTTTTATAAATCCTTGCTGAAGATATGGGATTTGAGTGCGGATATGAAATCGGCTGAAAGTAAATTCATCATTTTCACCCGCATCTACATCATCAGTTTTTTAGTCCTCGAACAATGACGTAGTGATTTTTTGAAGCTCACCTTCATTATACTATTTAAGGTATAGTGAAAAATAAATAGATTAATGATAATCGATCTACGACTTCAATCATCTTTTGCATGTATAGGATTAATTATAAGTTTTTGTTAGCAAACGATAAAAATATTCGAAAAATTCTTCCATTACTCAGCAATTTAGACGAGCTTATTCGATAATTTGATGTAAATAAAAAGGACAATCGAACTGAATTTATTTTTCAAATGAAAGTCTAATAAAATGAATATACTGATGAAAAGAACATTTTGACAAAAATAAATCATGTTTAGTCAATATTCAATTGGTTAAAGCATTGACCATAGTAAGCCAGTCGTCGAACATCTTTGGATTTTTAGCACTTACGAAATATACTTTATCCACTCCTTTGAGACCAATTTTTTTAATTTCAGATTGAATCTGATTTTTTACTGCTTCTTGTTCTTCTGGTTCAACTTTGTCAAATTTGTTGAAAACAATATCATAATGTAATCCAATTTCATCTAAGAGTTTCATCATGCTTGAATTTTCCTTAACTGTTGATTGAATTAAAATCAAACGTCGTGAAAGACCTTTAAAGAAAGAAATATATTCCATACTGAGATAAGATACTTCATCATTTCGACCAGGAACATCCCAAAGTATGAATTTAGTTCCATTGTATGATGTAATTTTCGTTGTTGTTTCACCAACACCAGTATCAGCAACTTTTTGACCAAGAAGAGCATTAAGCATAGTTGACTTACCAGTTGATGTTAAACCAAACAAGCCTATATTGATGCCTATCATCTGAACCGGCTTAGTTTGTTGTGCTAATGTTATAAGAACTTTCTTAGCCTCTTTATCTTGTTTTTCGAGATCCTCGAATGATTCAATTTTTTCTCGTTGCAATTTTTTACTGAGAGAATCGAAACGTTCAAGAAGTTCGGCATGTTGCTGACGATATTGAGCCAATTCTTGACGCAATCTGACAGTTTCGACTGAATCATCCGGTTCTGCAATGAAGAAAATTTTAAGAAGGTATATTTAGCCATAAACTAGTCAAAACTAGATGTTTTTTCTCAATTCTACAAAGAAGCTTTAGCATTGATATACGTGAGTGTCAAGAAGAACGATTATCGTTGAGGAGTTTCATTCATCTAAGATCAAGGAATTAGCGTCCATAAAACTAATCATTAGAATCTATTTAACAAGATTTCTCGTCTGCAATCGAATAAAGTGTATTGCTATATGTACATTTTTTTCGACGATTTAAAAATTCATTATGACTATGAACAAACAAAATGCTGGAAGAGGGGCTACTTTGTGCTCAATAATTCAACTGATCCTCACTTTTAATTTTCCGATCTTTAATTGCGAACGTGATATTTCGCGTTGAAATTAGAAAATTGTAGTTTATTCAACCTCTACAAACACCAAAAAGTCATCAGACTAACTTCATTTCTGTGAAACTATTTTCTAAAAACTAACAAAATATTTTCGAAAAATAATAACTAGTTTTTGTTCTCGATGCAAAATTAACTGCTTAATCAAAATATTTCTAGTAGACTATAGTATTTTCCTATTCAATCACCTCAGTCGTTTCAAATCCAAGTTGACTTACGTTGTATCGAAGATAAGCCACCTACTAGGGCCTCCACTAATCTATGTGCTATTGGTACAAATGGTAAGAATGCAGCCATAATTCAAGTGAATCTTGTAGAAAAAAATCAAAGTTCCTCGATTGTGTTTGTTTGCAGTAAATGATTTAATGCGACCGAAGATTATATACTTCTACGAGATCACTTGGATTATTCCGACAATGATAAATATCTTGATCATATCTAACTTTCTTGTTTTGCGGTCTCTAGTGCAATCATAAAAACATTTGTCTGTATACCATCACTTCGGTATTTTCCCCTTACGTGTTCTCTTTCTCATTTTTATCTTTCTTTGATACTATGTCCCTATCGAGAATAACATCTAGTTCTTTTTTTTTCCTTCACAACTATTCACAGATGGTAAATACCATGATGTCATTCGTCCGTTGCAGATTACTATGAAGAAACATAGTGACGATTCCGACATATATGTGTTATTTGAATCACATGAAGTAAATTGGAAAAAATAATAAATTCAAATTATGTTTATTTTAATGGAGTTTTTCCAACAGAGATCAGTAATTGTGAAATATGATATCCTGGAAAAATATGTCATAATGTTTCGTTTAATTTCTCTCTACACATGAATGACTTTGTGTTAGTGTTTTGGCCATTCATGCTTAATGAAAAAGTACAGTTTATTGAAAATAAATCAATGAATTAAAATCTGTTATTGAGAAAAGATTACTTTTTTTCTCTAGAAAAAAAAAGTCACAGGTAGATTTGTCAGTTCGATTGTATTTGTTTTAGTTACTAACAAGGTTGGATATTTTGGATATCAGTTAAACTCAACGTGCTTTATCATCATTTGTTCTAGAAAACATAATAGAATTTTGAGCTAACAAATGGTTATATTAGCCAGTGAGCGATTAATATAAACTCTATATGAATTTAAACAAGATAATGAATATTTCACATGTCGATTTGAATCAATCTATCAAGCTGAAGCTTGTTGAGTTGCAATCATGTTTCTACTAATGATTCTTGACGTGCGACACGATTCTTCTAATAATGCTCATTCATCAAGACTAGAATAGAAATATTTGACAAAACATTTAATTCTAATGACAGGGAACATAATCGATTAATTGAATGTCTTTTTGTTTGATCGTGCCTGATGTTTGCTCAGTTAGAACGAGAGAATAGATAGAACACTCTAAACGTATTTGAATAAAAACAGTTCACTGTTCAATAAAATATAAATAATACGCTGAAGAAATGATTGTTTTAATTACGTAAGACTTCAGAAAATGAGCCAAAACTACTGAATAACAAGTAACTATCGCACATCGGTTTTTTATTTCTTTGGTCGAAATATGAAATTCATTCTGAGGAAAAAAAAGTATCCAAATCTGTACATTTACAAAGAATTAAAATATATTAGACATATTCTATTAAATGAAATTGAAAAATAACAATAAAAAAAAGCCTTAGTTTAATCGTCTCTTCAGAGTCAAAATATTCAATTTTATCGTTTATATATTGTTCTTTGGTGATTGAAAAATCCTATTTCAAGCTAATTACTAACAAAGATTATCGGCAATGGTCAAGATTCAGAGATTCACTCGAAAAACTCTGATAAATCGTGTGTTGATACAAATCATTTTCAATATAATCCGGAAAAGTTTCAGGAACAACTAGAAAGTTACAATTCTATCTGAAACCGTAGAGTTCTACTCGTTCACTTGATCTGTGAAAACTAAACATCTTCGGTAATTGAATGCATCTAGAGATATTATTCGAAAATGTACACTCTCTGTTCGAGTTACTTTAAATCTTGCAAATATTCTGATTTCAAATACCGCATCCTGCAAGTAGAATTCAATTCGTGTGCTACAATATTAATATATCTTGGAAAAAAAACCGTAATTAAAGTTTTTAAAACATGTGCAGCACAGTGACAATTTTAGAATCTGTTACAAATAACAGATCAATTTCTACTTCTACGAAATCGCACAAAAAGTTCCTTAGAATATCAAGTTCTGCACATGATTGTAGAGAGCAGAATAGTATTCATCAGTGGAAAACATATTTACGACTACTAATATAACAAGAAAGAATCAAGCAAGTCAAGTTTAACTGATACTCCAAACATCCAACTTTGCTAGCAATTAAAACAAATACAATTGAACTGACAAATCTACCTGTGACTTTTTCCTAGAGAAAAAAATTAATCTTTTGTCATTAACAGATTTTAATTCATTGATTTATTTTCAATAAACTGTACTTTTTCATTAAGCATGCATGGTCAAAACACTAACACAAAGTCATTCATGTGTAGAGAGAAATTAAACGAAACATTATGACATATTTTTCCAGGATATCATATTTCACAATTACTGATCTCTGTTGGAAAAACTCCCTTAGAATAAACATAATTTGAATTTATTATTTTTTCCAATTTACTTCATGTGATTCAAATAACACATATATGTTGGAATCATCAATACTTTTCTTCATTGTGATTTGCAGCAGACGAATGACATCATGGTATTTACCATCTGTGAATAGTTGTGGAGAAGAAAAAAAGAACTAGATGTTATTCTCGATATGGACATAGTATCAAAGGAAGATAAAAATGAGAAAGAGAACACGTACGGGGAAAGTACCTAAGCGATGATATACAGACAAATGTTTTTATTATTGCGCTAGAGACCGCAAAACAAGAAAGTTAAATATAATCACAATATTTATCATTGTCGAAATAATCCAAGTGATCTCGTAGAAGTGTATAATCTTCGGTCGCATTAAATCAATCACTGCAAATAAGTATAAACTACAAACTTCTTCTGTCATGTCAGGCTTCAATATGAATATACACATTATGCCTAAACCAATGTTGTTTCGTTGTCAAGTGGTAGCATATTTGATGAATAAGATTGGCTCATTTCAAAGTAGGTCATTGACATTTCTAGTTGTCAGCGTAGTTCTACAAATGAATAAGCCATTTTCAATGTACAAAAGTTACTGCAATTATTCAAAGCAGAGTAGGCTTTAATTTAGTTCATTTGATAAGTAACAGATATGGGCTTTCCATTTTCCAATTTGAGTTCATCTGATAAATTCTTAATATATCATTTTCTTACAGAAAATATATATATAAGTAAAGAAACATTTGAAAACAGAAGCTTGCTTAGTATAACTTTTGATAAAATTGTAATATTGAACTTAGATAGACTCACAGATCAAGTAGCAGAAAATAGTTTTTCATCACAGACATATTTGAAAAAATTAGAGCGTGACATAGATTCCAAAATAATCTTCTAGAACAGGTCAAAAAAGTGTGGGTGAAAAAAAGAATTATATATATAAATAAAACTACATTCAATTTCAATTGGATATCTAACATGTTAGAATTTGTCTCCCTTCGGATTTCTATAGTACATCGAGTCTAACAGAAAAAAAAGCATATGTTGGAATCTATCTCATTGGTTTTTCTAAATGAAAAGGATTCCTATCTAAAAAATTGTTTTACATAGGCCGTCTTCAACTCTCACAAGAAAATGCTTTATTACGGCAACAACTAAGTGAATACAGTCATTTATCTCAGGAGAATGCTCAATTACGCAACGAAGTCTTACGAAGTCGAAATCAAGCATTACTTCAAAATATGGCAAGAACTGATCAGAATGTGCAATTGACTTTAATATCCTTTGAAGACCCAAATTCACATAAGGCTACAACTGGAATAGATGCAACTAACGCAAACCCATCCCATCCAAATGTTGTACTGCACTCAGATGTCTCTCAAAGTCTTCAAGAAACAGAAGAAGAGACTCTATTGCGTGCAGAAGTGACCCAATATCGTGAACGACATGCTCAACTATTCAAGCAATATGAAAAACTTAATGAAGAAATGAAAAGAAAGAAGATCAATTCATTTGAAGCACTCGCGGAATACGATAAGGACGCAATGAAAGTTTTTATCGAATTAGCTCGACTGACTGAACCCATCCCATTAGATGGCATTAATATCGGCCTGTTTGGTTTGACATCAACTGGTAAGTCAACTATGCTTAATGCTCTTCTTGGTCAAAAAGTTGCTGATATTGGTATTGGTGAAACAACAACAAAAATTACATCATACAATGGAACTAAATTCATACTATGGGATGTTCCTGGTCGAAATGATGAAGTATCTTATCTCAGTATGGAATATATTTCTTTCTTTAAAGGTCTTTCACGACGTTTGATTTTAATTCAATCAACAGTTAAGGAAAATTCAAGCATGATGAAACTCTTAGATGAAATTGGATTACATTATGATATTGTTTTCAACAAATTTGACAAAGTTGAACCAGAAGAACAAGAAGCAGTAAAAAATCAGATTCAATCTGAAATAAAAACAATTGGTCTCAAAAGAGTAGATAATGTATATTTCGTGAGCTCGAAATTTCCGACTATGTTTCCTGATTGGATAGTTATGATTAATCATCTAGAAAATCTTCTACATTGACATTGTCGGCAAGTCATTACGTTCTTTAATAATAAACTGAACGTCGTCGTTTTATGAAAAAAAAAATTTTCTGTATTTTTCTTCTGTATAGAATGCTTATATTCTCACAGTGAACAATAAAGGAAGCAGTGATGTAACACATGAAATCTAGTTTAATTGAAGTAATTAATATAATAAACTGGTTGACATTGCACAAAATGAAGTTGAGGAAAAAAAAGCAAATATCATTTGTGTGTTAACAAGAATATTAGCGAAAAATAAAGATTTATAGAATACAGTAAACATATCAAGCTGTACAAAAAATGTTAAACATGTTCAAGTTTGATCAAAAGCTTAGGATCCAACCGTTTCATATTAAAAAAAAATTAAAACATCAGATCTATATCGAATAGAATAAGACAATTTCAATTCGATTAAGCTTTTATTTTAGTATGAAACTTTAATTTCATCTTTATTTAATTATTTTCTTTTTTACCGAGACAGCGAAAAAGATTTCATAGGTTTTTTAATTGATATTGATGAAAAACTAAATAATGTCCACAACTATACATCAAAAGAAAATCACATGTTGATAAGTTCTAAGATATATATCTGGAATATGGGAAACGAAACCTTCAATGATATTAGAGTTTTGAACATGCAAATATGTGATTCTTCTTAGAGCTACTTATGATACTGTCAGAAAAGTTGAAACCAATAAAATATGATGAAAATAGAGAACTCATCGGCTCTTAGAAATTCACAATGAAAACAAAAAAAAGAAATAAAGACATACAAGCGAATGAATGCTTTTTTAATATTTTAGAAAAATTAGAAGGGACAACATATCTGTACTAGATCTTGATGAAAATAATACAAATAAAATCAAATATTAACAATAAGGCTATTAAATAAAATCGCAATTAAGAAGAAAAATTCATAGGATCTAATCAAGAGCGAGACTCATTGCTATTTTGAATTTTATTTATATTGTTAGTTATCATCATCCGTATCTGAACTCGATGATGAATCTGAATTTAATTCAGATTCAGATTCTGAATCTGTATATGTAGCTGTGTAGTCATCGTCTAAATAAAGACAAACAAAATGCATATGAATACATCAAGATAAATTATTTTTGAAAATATTTCTTACAATCAAGACATTCTTCAGTCAAATAGTGAACCATTTTTAGCCAATCTGGAAACATTCGAGGATATGAAGCACTTAGAAAAAATACATTCTTCTTGCGTTTCAATTTCAATGATAAAATTTCGCGTTGAATCTGACGTCGAAATTTATCTTGTTCATCTTCATCAATATCATCAAATTTGTTAACAACAATATCATAACCTAATCCAAGATCATCGAATAAACGAATCAAATTCAAAATTTCTTTTATCGTATATTGAATTAGAATGAGACGTTGTGTTAATCCTTTGATGAAAGAAATATATTCCTGATTTGTATATGCAGATTCATCATTACGACCAGGTGTATCCCAAAGAGTATATCGTGTACCATGATATGGTGTCATTTCTTTCGTTGTTTCACCAACGCCTATGTCGGCGAGTTTTTCTCCAAGAAGACTATTAATCATGGTTGATTTTCCAGTTGATGTTAATCCAAATATTCCAATATTGTTACCTTGTTTTTTAATAGATTTAGTTTTACGAGCCAATTTAGTCAGAGCTTTCTCTCGTTGTTTCTCATCTTTCGAAATATCATCAAATGATTTCATAGTCTTTCTTCTTGTTTTCTTTTCCAAAGTCTCCAAATCTTGACGTTTATCAGAAATTTCTTCACGCATTCGTTGTATTTCATCGTGCAAAAATCGGACCGTATCAGTTTGTGAATGAACTAAATAATAAGTAAGCAACATAATTTAAATTCTCCTTTAAAGTGTTGTTTCGTTTTGTTGTATGCCTAAAATAGTTTTTCGCCATCTATTTTTAGATGCTACATTAGCTTTCTTAATTTTTCTTTCTAAATGTGTTATGATCGAGAACAGAAAGATCGTTCAACTATTCTACTGTACGGATCTTACTCAATTCGAATCAACACAATCATAGGGTTTCGTAAATCTTTGTTTTCTACTTTAAGTCTTCATTAAAGCAATTCATTGAATGGCAGGAAAACAGATGAAGCACAATGTCACTTTCATGGAGAATTAAATCAAGGATGTATCTGCTGTTGGTATCATTTATTTAATAATATAACAATTAAATTCTCTTCTGATTTATTATCATGATCTATTTTTACTATCTAACTTATTTTTTTCTCTAGATGTAAACGGTTCAGGATATTCAATCATTGACACGAGAAAAATGAATAGGTAAAATTGTTAAATGTACAAAGTAAATTATCGAAAATTAGAACGCCTTGTAAATCATAGATAAAGAACTTCTCGCGAATTATGATAAGTAGGCTGTAATACACACAACACAACAGTGATGATGTGAGTGAAATCTTTAACAAAAAGGCATTTAAATTTTTGAAGTTTTCACTTTCGATATTTAACTATCGAGTCGAATCATGCAATAGATTAAAGAGTACTCGGATTCTTTAATACGAAAATAATATTAAAATTTTTAAAATCGAAGATATTTTGCAAGATGAATTGTATTCTTAAAGCGATAATTTGTATTGTAAGAAAAATACATCATCTCAAATAAAAATAGGAATGATAATCATAGCTTCTTTTCTACTCCCCAAGAAAAATTCTTATGGGTGTGCATGTAGCTCCTATTTTAAACAACTTCCATACGCATACACTCACCTACATTTCAATCCATATCCACATTCTTTGGGACAAAAGAAATGTCTCTTTCTAGTTCTTGGCGAATAATTCATTTCGTCATAATATTTACTTGTTCATAGGCAAAAAAATAACTCAATAGCTTACCTGGCAATATATTAGGTGTATTTATTACTTCAATGACCGGAAATGCTGCAGCTTCTAGAATATTTCGGATAATGTTGAAACCGAACATTGCAATCTAAATCAAAGTTGTAGATGAAATCTATTTTTAAACGATAATTAACTATTAATGATAAATTATTTTCGTTGGAAATTTCTCTTAAGAAATCCAGATAGATTATTTCCAACGGTTGTATCTTTTCCTTGGTGACAGTACTGGTGAAGAATATTTATATTTCTTCTTTTTTTTCCTTCCTATTTGTTGATGACTCATGGGTTTTTACCAAATACTCTAGGATATTGATAGAAGTATAGAATATCGTTCTTTCTCTTCTACTCTATCCATTAATCATTAAAAAATGTTCTGAAAACTACATCGGAAAAAGACATTAAAAAATCGGATACAAATATTATAAAAAAATATCTATTGTAGGTGATGTAATATAGAAAAAAGGGTTAAGTCTAAAGTTACACATTTAAAACAAATTATGAGAGTTCTATTAAATTAAAAAATAGTCGTCATAAAGCTACATTAAAAGTTTGTTATAATCGTCAATCATAGCTATTAACACGATCTCTACGAATAACTACGACTTCTAAATAGAGCTAATTATCTCTGTAAAGATTTTCTTGTATCTTACGTAAGAAGAATCGATTTTTAAGTTGTAGAATTCTTTGTTAGACAAATGATAACAAGTTTTTCTTTTCTACATAAAGATTTCAGTTCGCATAAGAGACGCGTCTTACCCAATATATATATATATATATATGAGTCATTGGTTGTAAATATTTTGAAAGAGAATATTTTACGACAAGAAGTACCTATCTGTTTATATCATGGCATCTTAACATTGCTTTTGGGTATGTCATTAATCAAGATAATCAAAAGGAAAGAAAAAAAACACCATCTTGTTGTTTTGATTTCTTCAGTGGCATTTGCCAAATATGAGTGAGCGATAGATATTAAATGAAGAGAAAAAAAGAAATCGACTGATGACACATATGGATAAGATATCCAATTGCAATAGAGCTATTCTCTGTCAAAGTTCGAGGAAATTTCCCAGATGATTTACCTACATATAAATTCATATTATTCTTTTATATCGTACGGTGAAGATTCGTTTACTGTTTTTTTTAGATTGATTACACAATTCAATTTGTCTATGGCTACTATTAATATAACGATGTCGTTACCTGTTCAAGTTATTGAACTTTTATTGAATACAGTGAATATATTACGAGGTAAGATATTGAATTTTTCTGATGGTTTTACTTGGAAATATGTCCTACGAAATGTATGAAGTTTATGATCGATATGATTTATTCATTCAAATAAGACAACGATCAGAATTGAAACCTATTAAACGATATTTTTTGAGGGAAGGTTGAATATTTTTGAGAAAAAAAAATGAGGAAACTGATTTTAGAGAGTATTTGATGAATTAATTGATTTTCGGAATGATAAATTATTAAAATTATTCATAATCGCCCATTATTATTGATAATTTTGAGATGTTGTTCAAAATCAAATTTTGATTTTTTAAAAATCTGATAGAAAAGACGTTTCTTGATTTTATTGAATCCTTTATTTCAGTCATAAAATACAACATTTCGATTATTATATCGAAAATGTGTTCTCACAATTACATAGAATGATGAAATAAATTATGCTGATTTTCATATCTATTGAACATCGTAATCCATGACTATAGTTTTCCTTGTTTCCACCATCGATAATCTATATTTGAAGTCACGACATTTTATTTGAAAAAAAAAAATTAGTCAAAATAAAACGACCAATATTATTTAACAATTCATATTTTCTATTAAATCAACAAATTTTCCTTTTTCTTTGTTGCCAAACTATTTGCTATCATCCTTAAACGAGATTGCTCAATGCCTAACTAATTTTCATGAGTGTGCTAAAACGGAAATAAAAACTTAATTGCTTAGAACAAAAACAAAAGAATGCATTTAACATTCACTATTCAAAATATATCTAGTTTGTGTGAGATCATAATCAGAAGATATATCAAATGAAAAATTAGATTTCTAATTAGTTTTTGTAACAGTTCAATATCCTATATATATAGGAATGCTTGATAAATAGATTTTGTAAATTTATGATATAAAAATTTGAAGATCAGCAAAATTAGAATGATTAGTTTCAAAATTTGTATTATATTGCTATGTTCATTTCCATAGTAATAGCTGCTTGATCTCAAAACTCTAAGTTTAGTGTTGTCTTCTTTTCGCAATTTATATTATTTCTCTACAACAAAAAGTCAATGAACTAGATACTTTGATCATTCTATTTTAATTATTTTTCTTAAGACAAAATACTTGTCTATTGTTGATTATTTGATCTAGGTCATCAAAATATATTCGGTGTAAATGATTTCGCCTGTCAACAATCATCTCAACACCGTCCTCAGACAAGAGACAATACAGCATCACATACAACAATGTTCCAATCTCAACATACTACAAGACATACCGAAGAAACATTATCGTCAAACCATCAGCTACATCAAGACACAACAAAACAGACTGAAGGATTGGAATTTCCATCGCATCAACTACTGTTTCAAAGTACGACAACACATAGATCAATATCTCAAGAACCTCAAGAAACATATGAAAATGCTGCATTACGTGCACAAATACTCAACTATCGTGAACAAAATGCAGAACTAATTCAACGTTTTCAACATTTCAACGAAGAATTGAAAAGAAAAAGGATCGATTCATTCGAAGAATTGATTGAACAAGACAAAGAAATGAAGAAAATTTTCATTGAATTAGCTCGTTTAACACAATCGATGCCAATGGAAGGTATTAATATTGGTTTATTTGGTTTGACATCAACAGGCAAATCAACAATGATAAATACTATTCTTGATCAAAAACTTGCCCAAACTGGTGTTGGTGAAACAACAACAAAAATTGTATCATATCAAAGTACAAATTTTACACTATGGGATGTTCCTGGTCGAAATGATGAAATGACTTATATGACAATGGAATATATTTCATTTTTCAAAGGTCTCTCAAAACGTTTAATTTTAATTGAAGCAACAGTGAAAGAAAATTCAAGTATGATGAAACTCTTAGATGAACTTGAATTACATTATGCAATTGTTTTCAATAAATTCGACAAAGTTGATGATGATGAACAACAACAAATTCAACAACAGATTGGACATGAAATTAAAATACTTGGTTTAAAAGGAGTTGATCAAGTTTTTTTTGTCAGTAGCAAATATTCAAACAAATTTTCTGATTGGCAAACAATGATCAATTACATGCAAAATACTAATATTTGAGTATATTATTTAATCAATTCATTCATGTTATTGAATAGTTAGTTTTTAAAATAAACAGGAAATACTTTGTATACGAAAAGCTACGAATCTTTAATTCTGTATTTGTCGATCTTACTGTAAGAGAAAAAGGAATTGTATTCTGTAGATCCATTATTTATTGATATACTTCTTCTTATATAAATAAATTATCGATTAAAAAAGAAGAGAAACTTCTATCTTCAAATACACATTCTCAAAACATCAAATAGCTTCGTATTCTTTCTGCATAAACAATTGATCGTCCATATCAATTGCATAAGATTTTTACTAAACATAGCGATATTCACAGATAATGATCTGCATAAGATTCATATGGATAGCGAATCTGAAAGTGATTCTGCAATAAAGATCGATGAAGTATATTCATCAGATGTAGATAGTAGTGGGCCAGACGACTCAACACCAGCAGAACTGCCTGCTAGTCACAATTGGATCAAAACTGATGTTGATCCTCGTCTCTTTTCTTTTGACGAACAAAAGTCTGGTGTTCCATGAAACACATATGTCATCAGATGTGACACTCCTCGTGATATTTTTTTAATCATTGTTTGATGAAAAAATGATTAACTTGGTTAACAAAGAAATGAATAAATATCGGGAGCATTCTATCAGTTATGTAATATCTAATGCAGCTTCGCATCAACCAAAGTGGATATCAACCAATCGCTCGAAAATGTACACATTTCTAGCTACAATTATGCTGATATTGGTAATTAAAAAGAACAAGATCTATGACTACAGGTCAATCGTTCCCATGATTGCTACACCTATGTTTGGACAGCTATTTTTCAGAGACAGATTCACATCGCTTTTGAGATGGAGCCGTATTTGAACAAGGACTATTTGCTTTTTCTCGACACCTGATATACTAGCCCTCGTTTATTTGAAAAATGTGGATGAACTCAAAACTAGTACGTGTGGAATTGTCCGCAAAAATTGCATTGGGCTAGCTATGTTTACTAAACTGGCGAAATGGCATTTTGACTATAGAAACACCGACAATCTAATGATACTGAAGTGGTAAGACAAACGAGCAGTCATTATGTTATCTGCGATTCACAAGCCGCGCACGGTGCGAACATGAAAAAGTGATTGGAAGACTCATAGAGAAAGTGAAAAACCAGAGTGTATTTTTAATTACAATGAAAATATAAGCACAGCTAATAAAACTAACATGCAGATCAGTTTTATATAATGTTTACGAAAAGCCGTCGAGTGTAAAATGCTCCGCTTGAAGATTTTCGTATTCAACTGGTTCGACAACTCATTGAAAGATATGCTCAGCCTTCAGCAACAGCGGTCAGAAAAACTGCACAGAAATATTATGCAGTTTGTAGTCATACAAACCCATGGGAGAGAAAGAGCACTGACATATGTTATCCGTGTGATATTTGTTTTGCTGATCTATGTGTTGTGGGACGTTTTGAAGAATATCATATGCTTCTACATTAAAATGAAGCTTATTCTTGAATTTTTCAAAAAAACTAAAGTTTCTTTTCATTTTTTTCCTCATCTTTTCAAAAAATACCCAGTCACGAAAGGGTTGAAACAGCCGCTAAGAGTAGACTGTGCTTGAACCCAATATATGAGGCACTCGTCAAGTTTTAGATTTTTTGTATGCATTCGAAAGGGAATGATCTAAAATCACTCAATCTAAATTTTTAGTTAATTTGGATATTTTACAGCGAAGTTAGCCTTGACGAATTTCTAGCACCGTCCACCCAATATTAACAAAGATAATTATAAATTATCTCATGAATGTCTACTACAATTAGAATATCAGGGCTGAGAGGATGTGAGTGTAGGCATAAGAAGACTACCTTCTACACTAACGCCAACACCCACTTCCAAGATAGTTGAATTGTAGGAAGAAAAACGAATATTCGATTGTTTATATTAAGGAATAAATGAATTTTGTTTAACATTATCTAATGATAATTTTAGTAATAAAAAAAAGTTGTCAACGTAATATCTGTGGGATCAAAATGTGAAATACAATACAGTTATTGTCGTTAGTCACGTGAAAATATTTTCATCTGATCTATTTTGAAATGATTTAACATCATCCTTTACCTAATCATCTAAAAATACAATAAGGAAATAGTTCATATACTCTAATAAGAGCTGTTAGCATATATACGATTTTTAGAAGTGTATCAACAATGTCAGCCCTGATCTATAATAGTCTTAACAGGCTATCTGTCACGGTCAATCAGGCAGAGGGAGAGGATAGACGGGTAGACTAAATTTTCATTCTATGTGCTTCAACTTTCTTTTTAAACTGTGTTTTACAACATCTAAGATTTTTATTGTTATTGTAGTCATAGATAATTCTCACTGAAATAGATAAGTTGATAATTGAACTCGTGAAAATGACATACGCGATCACACTATGAATCTTATTGACTTTGACAATGAAGGATTCAATTTACACAGAATAAATCGATTAGTAAAATACTTTAATTGAAACTAGGGTTATCACACTTCCACTTACCAGGTAAGTGGTAAGTGTTGTAATTAGCGAAAAATTATCGATATAGCACTAAAAAATGATTATTTTAAATATTGATTTTTATTCATGCATAGCAATCTTCATCACTTACCACTTACTGGTAAGTGTTAAATAGTATCACTTATCACTTGTTGGTCAGTGGTAAACGGAATATGACACCCCTAAATTTAAACCTTTTTTCTTGTCTTTTTTCCATTTTTTTTGTTTTTAAAATTCATTCTTCTTTTGTAGACAGCATGAAAATATTTGGAACATTATCATTTAAATGATAGATTGTCATTAAATTATGAAAATGAACATATTATTAATATAAGCTTTGCACTTAGCCATCCATTAACTAATGGCACTTCTGGTCATTTTTGGGTGTGGGTGTGGGGTGGCTGTGGCTGTGGCTGTGGCTGTGGGCTGGGTGTGGGGTGTGGGTGTGGGTGTGGGTGTGGGTAGGTGTGGGCGTGGGTGGGTGTGGGTGCGGGCGTGGGTGTAGTTCTATGCTTCCCCCACACTCACACCCACCCACACACCCCACACACCCACACACCCCACACATCCAGACCCACCCACACCCCACACCCACACCCACATCCCACATCCCACACCCACCCACACACCTCACCCATCCACACCCACACCTCACCCCCAACCCCACCCACACCCAAACCCACCGACACCCACACCCACACCGACATCCCACACCCCACACCCACCCACACCCACACACCCACACCCACACCCCACCCACACATCCCACACTCCACACCCACCCGCACCCACACACCCACACCCATACCCACCCCATACCCACACCCTAAAATACAAATAGTTGTAATTGCGTAACTGTGAGTAATGAACGTTAAACTTTAATTAATTAAGATTATTTCATTTAGTTATATTGCTCACATCTTACAGGACGAATATGGCGATAAAGAAGCTATCTATATCCTAAAAATGGTAGATAAAGTTTGCAATCGATAGAAAGATATTATTCTGTTCACTTTTTAATAACATTATTCCTAAATCACTTATCAAAATTTCTGTAAGCATGCGTTGAAGGATCACGATCATTCATTCATGTAGGCTTCTCACTTATGTCTTGTGACGACTTCTATAATTATTCAATAATTTTATTTAATCTGCTCATTGCTCTAAAAAATTCTATATTTAGCTTAAACAAAAATATTCTATATACATGCAGCAAGAGTTTTACAGTCTATTGATCTATACAAAAGCTTGTGACTTAAGTGCGTGCGACGAAAACTCTCTTAAGACACAGTGAAAAATATTTTCTTTGTGTTCAATACTTTAAACTTCATTCCTAGACAAAACATAAAAGTTCTATTGTCATGCAGTAAAAGATTCGGTTCTTCCGTTTATGCAAAGACTTTCTCTCTATTTCTTATGAAGACCATTCTGTTAATATACAGTTAAATATATTTTCATTCTGTTCATTCGTTTAAAAAAAATGTATATGCAATTCATGCAAAAATTCTATTGACATGCAGTAAAACAACTTTTTATTCTAATCATTCATACAAAAATTTCTATTTTTAATTCACCTTAAAATATTCTAATGTAAACTAAACTTGTGAAAAATGTTCTAATCAGGTGCTCATTACGATTACTATACAAATACATATGATACAAGTGTTCCGAACTTACGTTAGTGTGTTACGAAAGAGAGGAACCGAAACAAAGAGAAAGAAACAAAGAACGATATTACGACGAATGAAATTAACGCACAGAAACACATAGCAGTAGATGACTATTGGCTAGTGAAATCTACTTAAATAATCAACTAGGGAAAAAGTAAATTATCAGAAGAAAAAAACAATTAAAATAGTTATTATTTTTAGAATCTTTTCTTTGCGAGTTAGCTATTCTTTATGTTTTCTGTTGCTTTTCTTGTATAATAAATCCAATGGAAATGGATTATTAAATAAAGATAAATTATTACCTGCCATCGACTAAAAAATATCCTCACATTAATAGAATTAAACACACTTGACTGTTTAAGTGCATTTATTGTACATCGAATATCATCTTTTGTTACATAAATATCCAAACTTTTTCGGCCGTTTTTTTCAAGGATTCCAATCGAATTATTTGTTTCTTTTCATTTTCTTACCTTGGATGACTTAACACATCTTTGTACTGTTTTCTATAGAAAAGCGGATGTAAATATGCTAGCAATGACAATATTTTCCGTAGTATCACAAAATTCATCGATAGCAACATACATACGTACACTTTTTTTGCACAAATTTATTGTATGGAACTTATCATGAAACAACATAAGAATTTACTAATTTACAATCTATTATGCAAAAACTTGTTTTTCAACCTGGAACTGATATTAAATTTTTTCCTGTTCATAAATCTTTTTTGTTTTCAGTACTCTAATCGAAGTGGAAGCACTTCGTCATAATAAATAGATAGCTGTTTACTTTACTTTTAGTGTATTTTGGATAGAATGTTATATTAGTTAATATTAACAAGCAGCTTCTCTTCAATTCATTTTTCTTTATGCCAATTCATTAAAATGTATGATATATCTATGTTAAAATGCATTAACTTGTGTAAATTCCTTGCATACAGACGTTAAAACATGTTCATTACTCTAATATCTTCGTTAAATACATTAAAGAAAAAAAAAACCGTTCTCATGCGTTTATTTCTTGAATTTGCCTAGTAAGCGAGTTTTATAGCGTTGTTTTCTTCAATTCTCATCGTCAACGCATCAAAACGGTGTTTTGCCGTTTATCTGTTTGCATGGATGAGTATTCCATACTAATGTTGATCATTTATACATATATATGTATTTTATTTACCTACAATTTCATCCATTTTACTGATTCAATCGTATGTGCTCTCTTTGAATGATTCATTGTGAAAGTTGTGCTGATAATGCTTTCAAGAAAGAAAAGAGAAATCACATGCAGTGACAATGTGCGTGTGTTATCAGTCAAGCCTAGATGATGACCTTATAAAATACACTCGTACTGCTTACCTCTTGATTTACGACTCTATTTCGTTGTGTCATACGAAATAAAACTAGAACACACGCAATATGAATCATCGAACAGAATCTTACACAATGTCGTTTTTCATCCTATTTGCATAGTTTTCTCAATACTAAAAAGGGTGCAATATTCCATTCTCCAAATATCGCAAAAACATTATTTATTTGAATAGATACTTATTGTTCATTTCTTGTTGAAATCAAGCTAAATAAGGAAAGAAAATCATTCATTAAAAATATTCCAACTAATATTACTCAACTTATTGATCAAAAGGATCTAAGTGAAAAAAAAACACTCTATTCAAAAGTAATAATAATCATTGAAGTCATTGTTGAGTTGAAAACTCAAGAACTAGATACTTAAGAAGTACAATTCAACTCACGAATAACTTATGACCATCTACGGTCGTCTACTTCTTTTCTATGCCATTGTCCTATACGATGCTCACTTCTTCAATTATTTCATCGTTTTTACCACCATTGACAGACGTACCTTCTTAACTTAGGTGTTCACGACGTAATACTCTTATTTTTGGCGTCCTTCAGTACACATGCGATTAAGAAGTAAAACAGAACATAGAATGGTTTTTTTTTCTCTATCAAGAGTACTGCGATGTGTTTTTAAATGGAACATTCTTCGTACTTCAATTATATGGTGTAATCTGAGTAAAAAAAAACATCATTGTATTGATGTTGTTTTGTAATTGTAATCAAATGCGCTGTTATAATTTCTATTATGCGCATTTCTCAAATATAAATACGAGATGCATATCGAAGCACGACAGTTCATTGAATCAACGCAACAATAGTGAATAGTTATATCTCGTTTATTACCTTAACTTAAACAAGATTGAATAAAAAAATGTCAGCATCGACATCAGCCAATCAAAATCAACAACCTGCTCAAGGCAACAAGCAACAGCAACAACAAGCTGGCCAAGGTGCTAATGCTCAGAGACAACAACAACAACAACAACAACCTGGTCAAGGCAGCAACCAACAGAACCAGCAACCTGGCCAAGGTAACAATCAACAGCAACAACAACCTGGCCAAGGTGCTAATGCTCAGCAAAGACAACAAGGTGGTCAGAATGATAACAATCAACAACAACAGGGTCAAGGTGCCAATCGCCAGCAAAATCAACAACAACAAGGTCAAGCTGCCAGTCGCCAGCAAAATCAACAACAACAGGATCAAGCTGCCAATCGCCAGC